TGTTTCAGGGAGTGGGGAGACCAAGTGTGAAGGCCCTGAAAAAGGGCTTGGTGCAACCAAGGAGCAGAAAGGAAATACGGCTGGAATGGCTGGAAACAAGGAGCAGGGACTAGGTAGAAGCCAGATCATAAAGGGTCTTATAGGTTGGCAGAGGGTTTGCATTTTATTCTGATTACACTGGGGAACCACTGAAGGATTTTAAGCAGGGGAGTCCTGTTATCTGACTGACACTTGATAAGATCACTCTGGCTACTGTGTGGAGAAAGGACTGTAGAAAGGGTAAGGATGGATACAGAGAGACCAGTTAGGAGGCTGCTGCAGCAGTCCAGGCCAGAAATAATCATGTTTTAGACAGGAGCTATAGCAGTCGAGATGACAAGAAGCAATCCAATTTTGAATATATTCTGGAATAGAACCAATGGGACCAACTAATGGATTGGATGTAGGTTTGGGGAGGTGCCACTTGCTAAGATGAAGAAGCTTCAGGAAAAGCAGGTTTGAGGAAGAAAACCAAGAGTTTGCTTTTGGACTTGTTAAACCAAGTAGGATGACTTTTTGTATAGCTTTGACTCTTAGAATCAGTAATATTTCACATTCTCCCAATAAATCATCAAAACCAACCAGTGCCGTGTGGGAATTTAAAATGGAATATAAGCAGTAACAAATAAACCTAACTGTATTACAAATGAAAAGGGAACCACACTGAAGGGGGTCAGGAAGAAAATAACTACCTAGTTAAGCTTGGAAAACAGTATTTTGACTGGATTCTGTAAAGATAAAAAGAACGTTATACAAAGCCTGTACTCTAGTGAGTAAAATGTCTTTCTCACCTGGGTGCGGATTAGCAATTCTGCAACTATTTTATGTGTATACTAGGACTGAACAAATAAGTGAACTAACTGAAGCTAAAGAGAGCCAAATTTCTCACTGTTGGAGAAAGAAGTGACAAAAAAGGAAACGGGAAGACAAGGATGAACCTGTGGAGTTGGACTGGAATCAGAAGTATCAGCATGAGCTCATGGCTTTCCATACACATGTACAGGTAGGTAAACAGAGAAATAAACAGAGAGGTGCATGTATCTGTGTGGGTAAGGATTCATGCATGTATTTCCTGGCTTCATCTGCTAAGAGGACCTAGAAGCAAAGACACTCTGGAACCAACCACTTCTCTCTACAGAAACCTCGTGCCCTAGTCTTGGCTTATAAATGTCATTATCCACTAAAAAGAACTAGGGTTCTTTGGAAAAGTGGTTCATTCCAGGGTTAGAACAGGAAAAATATAAGATAAGCCTGGAACATCTTGTTCCAAAAAATAAGGAGCCAGAAAATAAGGAAGAGCTCAAAAAATGTTTGGGGCATGTCAAAGTGATACAGGAGCCAATCTAAAGGAATTTCCAATGATCAAAGCTGGAACAATTTGAGCAATAAACAGAGATAGATTAAATTAAATCCTATAGACTAAAATAAATATCCATGAGTCCATACGTGTATTGAATAAATACATAATGGGGGAGAAGGGACAGCTCTTCCACATAGAGTAATTCCAATTAATAAATTAGAAGGAATGAGGGAAACATAAAATTACCATTAGGTAAACACCATAATAATAACTGTTGCAGGCAAGATCCACCAATAGATGCTAAAATCACTGGGCAAAAGTCTGAGGAGAAAATATATAGTAGCATAGTCTTAAACATCTCCCCACAAGATATTCATCAATTACAAGGGAAAAATAGTAACTTTGAGTAGAGAAAACTGGCAGACACCACCTCAACAAAGTGATCAAGGTGAATATCATAAGCAACAAACCAACTCGACATCATGCACTCCTTGATATGATGCACTGAGAAGGACACACATCATTTCTGTGGTATATTGGCAAAAAAAAAAAAAAAAAAAAAAAAAAGAAAAACACAACGAGAGGGGCCACGACGGTGAGCGGCCCACATATCGCAAAAAAAAAAAAAAAAAAAAAAAAAAAAAGGCATAACCTCAATCTAGTCATGAAAAAACATCAGACAAACTCAAATTGAGAGACATCCCGTAAAACAACTAGCCAGCACTCATCAAAAGTGTCAAGGTCATGAAAACCAGAAAAGGAGGAGGAACTGTCACAGATCAGGGAGACTAAGGAGAGACAACAAATAAATGCAATGTGGGATCCTGGAGCAGAAAAAAAATGGAAAGAAAAATGGCTGAAATTCGAATAAGGTCTAGAGTTTAATTAGTGGTGATATTATGGAAGATCTTTGTTCTACTTCATACTTCCAGTTTTATATTTTCTAAATTGAAAATGTATTACTTTTACAATAGAAAAAATATTTAATTTATTACCTTTTCCTTCCTATCTTTAATTTATTCAAAATGATATCATAAAGAGTGATCATAGGGCTTCCCTGGTGGCGCAGCGGTTGAGAGTCCGCCTGCCGATGCAGGGGACACGGGTTCGTGCCCCGGTCCGGGAGGATCCCACATGCCGCAGAGCGGCTGGGCCCGTGAGCCATAGCCGCTGAGCCTGCGCGTCCGGAGCCTGTGCTCCGCAACGGGAGAGGCCACAGCGGTGAGAGGCCCGCGTACCGCAAAAAAAAGAGTGATCATAAAATGATATGTAACTGGAAACTTTACTTACTGGTCATTTTGCTTCCCACCCACACCAGTCACAGCTCTTGCCTTTAGCATTCTCCTTAGCACAACAGCAGATGCAGAAAACAGATGCATGGACACAGGGTGGGAAGCAGGGGGTGGGATGAATTGGGAGATTAGGATTGACATATATACACTACCACGTGTAAAACAGATAACTAGTGGGAACCTGCTGTATATCACAGGGAGCTTAGCTCGGTGCTCTGTGGTGACCTCAATGGGTGGGATGGGGGCCGAGGAAGGGAGGTCCAAGAGGGAGAGGATATATGTATACATATAATCGATTCACTTCGTTGTACAGCGGAAATTGACACAGCATTGTAAAGCAACTATACCCCAACTAAAATTTTTTTTTCTTTTTTTTCTTTTTTTTTTTTTTTCGGTACGTGGGCCTCTCACTGTTGTGGGCTCTCCCGTCGTGGAGCACAGGCTCTGGACGCGCAGGCTCAGCAGCCATGGCTCACGGGCCCAACCACTCCGCGGCGTGTGGGATCCTCCCGGACTGGGGCACGAACCCGTGTCCCCTGCATTGGCAGACGGACTCTCAACCACTGCACCACCAGGGAGGCCCCCCAATTAAAAATTTTTTTTAAAAAGGGTATGGACACCATGATTACTACGTGAAAAGGGCTTTGTGATCAAGGGCTGTTAGTCATGAGCTCTGCAGTATTAGGGAAATAGGATTATGGGTGACTTTTTGCCCTAAATTTTTGAATAAGGTTTTAACAATTAAAAAAAATTTTTTCAATGAGATACAACATAACTTCCACCCTGTGACCTAACAATTCCACTTCTGGGTATTTATACAACAGCAAAAAAATGAAGTATATCCATAATATACACAACAACATGCATGAATCTCAAAATCCATTATGCTGACCAAAAAAAGACAGAAAAAGAGTATAAATTGTATGATTCCACTTATATGAAGTTCTAGAACAGACAAAACTAATCTATGCTGAAAGAAAGGAGAACAACACGTGGGGATTGAGGGGAGGACTGCAAGAAGGGAGGACTGCAAGAAAGGAGCACAAGGGAACTTCCTGGGAGATGATAGAAACGTTTTGTATCTTGATCACAGTGATAGTTACATGGCATATACATCAAGACTGATCAAACTATAGATCTTATTGTGCATTTTATTGTATGTAAGTTATGCCTCAATTTAAAATAAAGAGTATTGATGGGGAAAAAAATGTGGAACAAAAATTTTACTTGTTAAAATGACCAGTAATCAAGTCATAATTACCCACCTAATAAAATGTGAAGACTGTTAGGTGGTTAAATAAAATAACCAAAAGAAATTCTGACACATGCTACAATATGGATGAACCTTGAAGACATTATCCTAAGTGAAATAATCCAGCCACGAAACAACAGATACTGTATAATTCCACTTATATGAGGTACCTAGGGAAGTCAAATTCATAAAAACAGAAAGTAGAATCGTGGTTGCCAAGGGCTAGGGGGAGGAAGGAATGAGAGGTAATTCAGGAAGATGAAAAAAGTTCTAGAAATAGATGGTGGTGATGGTTGCACAACAATGTCAATGTACTTAATGCCATTGAACTGTACACTTAAAAACAGTTAAAATAGTAAATTTTATGTTACATATATTTTACCACCAAAAAAAAAAAAAAAAACAGCCTAAGATAAAGACTCAGAAAACCAATCACTCTGCTTATCTTGTTGCTTAGCTCAAAAGAATTGGAGATCTGCCTTGCTTTCATTCCTTGAAAAGAATCAATCATTCCTTTCTGACTCCTTCTGGGTATGAGCCAAAGGAAAACAGGCTCTACACTTTTTTCTCATTTTATTTTAAATCTTAGATCTACTAGGCTGTCCTGAAAGAATTCAGTGATGCTCGCCTCCTTCAAAACAATAGTCCCTAATCATTTAGGGGTTATAGATGCTTCTGAAAAATCTGATAAAAGCCACTGACCACAGTTCTTCACCTGAAGGCAATGAAGCTGCTTCATCTAGTTCATAAGTTAGGCTCTCAGAGTTTACACTTTGAGAAGAACAAAGAACTGTAAGTTATCGAATTATAAGCAGAAGTAGGAACTCAAGGCTTACGAACAAGTCAGGCAGGAGGGTTGAAGTTTCAGCCCACCTGCCTTGGAAACACCCCACCCTACTCCCCTGGACCTCAGGGCTATGAGCACAGTCAGCAAACCCAGGCTGAATCCATCTGTCCACCTAGATAGAACCAGGACACACCAGCACTCCCCACAAGGCTTACCTCATGCTGGGAATGGCATGGTAGCCCAATCGGAAGCGGAGTTTGCTAGACCCAGCAAAGTCTGCAATCACTTTTTCCCCCACAGTGTGCATGTGTCTGAGGAGCTCAAGGTGTTCTCCGGTCACAGCCTTCAGACTGGAAATGGAGGCCCATGGTAAGACCAGCCAGTGGTGACGAGCCTTGGGGTATTTATCCTTAATCACCACCACCTGCTCATCTTTGTAAACCTAGCAGAGGGGCACAAGAGAAGGAAACAGACATCTACAGCACATCTTGTGTGTGCCAGATACAGTCACATTCATTAACTCACTTAATTCCCACCACAATCTTGTGCAGAAGGTCTTAGTATCCCAATTTTGACCAATGAAAGCACAGAGACTCAGATAAGTTGAGTGTCTTGCGCCAGGTCACAGAGTTATCAGTACTAAGTGGGAAGTCTAAAATTCCAACACAGATCTAGTTGACTCCAGTCTGCGTTTTCAGTCACCATACTACACAGAACACACAGAAGAGGCACATAGTTCCTGAGGATCTGATGTAAAACCCCTGCAGGCATGAATTCAAATGCACTCTTCTCACTCTAACACAGCAGACCACATGATACATGCAAGTGTGTTCCAAGAAGCCCTATCAGATTGCCCCTTGTCACCCCAGGATGTAATTTAAGAACTCAGACTCCTCCCAGGATGACGCCTATTAATCCCAGGGCAGCCCAGTAACTGCAGTCACTATACATTATCTGACACTCTGTTGAAAGAGACCACACTAAGGTTAACACAACTTCCCTTATAATAGTAGTACCCAGAAGTTTAGGAGGAACAAGGCAGAAGGGATATTCATTTGAAAAACTTGGCTTCTCTCCAAAGAACTCCAGTTGCTAACTTACTGACAATGAGAAAAGCCACTTGATCTCACAAAACAGCCCAGTAAAACAAATCTCACTCAGAAGGACTAATCTCCTTTGATTTCATTTGTAGTTATGAACTCTGTGAAGTGATCATTTAAAACGTGAAATGTATTTCAATGCCAAAATTTTATTCCGACCTGCATTTTGGGGTCCTCCATTGAAATCTTCAAGCCTTGACTCCAGTGGCCCAATGATTCCTAGAGCAAAAAGGGGCAAGGTAAATCACAAATGCGATAGTTAAATTTGTCAGTAGTTAATACTGGACATCAGCAAAGTCCAACCAAACTTGGAAATAAGGTCAGTCTTTAAGAATTAAACTATATCTCTTTACCTCAATCTTTTCCTTTATGAACCATAAGCCATCCCCATTTTCTTCCCATATTCAGAGCTGCATGTCTAGACAGAGGCTGGAAACACCAGAGCGTGAACTGCATCTTCTTTGCCCTCTCCCACTCCATCTACAGCCTGTTTCCACTTTGACATCAGGATGTGAATCACATGATCTATGAAGAATGTTCCAATCTTAACCTTCTATAGATATACACTGACCCATTTTAGCAGCTCAGTGTTAAGCACACTGCCATTATCACCCTACCTTCAAGGGGCTTACCTCAGAAATTCAAGAGAAAAGTACATAAAGGGATATTCACCCAACTGACTGGTGACACAAACAAGTGACTATTTCATCATGGCTAATAACCCCTTAGGCATGTCTGGGCTTTAATGCGTACAAAACAATTAAGTAGTCATTACACCTCATTTAATCTCCACATCATCTATCAAGCACACTACCCTCACCTTTTTGGTGGATGCATCTTTCTCCTTCTTTGGGGGCACATAGCACTGGCTAGGGTTGCTCCCAGGTTCTAGTCTTGTACTGGGCTCAGCTTCCTGGGCAGCATCCCTTTCTACAGAATCACTGTTGCCTGACCTCTTTCTCTTCCTGTGTGTTTCCAAGCCAGGGTTCTTTGTCTCTTCCTCAAACTCTATGATATATGGATAAAGTTCATTCACCAGGTGGAGGACCTGGCCAGGCTGCAGCTTCACCTCTTGGTCTTTCCCAATTATGAGTGAGTCAATGCTGGTGGGATTGACCCCTACCTATGGAATAATCAGAAAATAATTATAATAATAGCAATAACACCCTTAGCAATATAGCTACTCCTATGTTCACCACTTACTATGTGCCAGGCACTGTGCTTAATATTCACTTCCATTACTCTGCCACTTCCACACGTGACAGAGAACCCTTTATTGGCTGGCACAGACATTCTAAAGTCAACAGTGTAAGAAAATCATCAAGTATAACATGGAAATCCAAGTTACAAATAGACATACCTGCTTTACCTTGACATATCCTTTGTTACACTCCGCTTTCAACTGTACTGAAAGAGATTGAAAAAAGTTAAACCCAAATGCCATGAAGAACCAGGCACTTGCTCCTGTTGTCCCTACAAGACAATGAAGGCTCACTCTAGGAGGCAATGTGACAAGGGTTTCCTCAAAGGCCTAAGAGCAAAATCATCCATTATTCAGGTGGCTAGGGCTCCAGGTCCTTCCGTAACAGTGTACATACTCCCTTAGCTACTGCTAATATCTTTATAAGGCAGCTTCACTGAATCCCCACAAGTCTCCCTATTCCAGAGCCCTTGGCCCACTCAGGATCACAGACTCTGCAGTCAGGAAAGGGGACCCATTTCTCTCACAAGCTCTTATATCTCAGGATTAAATCAAGACTTCCACTATTGTATGAAACCATCAGATGCCTTCAACAGAGAAAAAGGTAAAAGATATGTTCCTGGAAAACTGAAGTTCAGCTGGCCTTGGGTAGGAGGAGTAGAAAGAATATTCTAGAAAAAGGATTGCAGGGACAGAACAGTCTGAGCATATGTGGGAAGAAGTAACACTAAATACTTGTGTTCAGATACGTGAACAAAAAGCTTCTGGACAGGCTGACATACACATCCCTACAGCTGCTGCTGTGACAAGGCAGACAGAGAGCAGGAAGGAGTATCTGCTTCTGTATGTTTGGCTTAGCCAGCTCAAGCATGGCATTTTTCTTTTTCCCATTTAGATTAACTCATGTGGGAAAAACCATAATCAGTGCTGCAGGCTCCAAGCCTTAGGAACCCCTACTATGGCAAACACACTGCAGGGGGAGGCCTGGTAGCAGTGAGCATGTCTGGAGTTTACAGGTAAAAAATGAGGTACATGGTAAAGATTTTTCCTAAGGACTTTCATTTCATTAAATCCCACGAAAGACATTTCAAGAGCTAGATGTCATAGTCTTTTAAAGATACCATCCTCTGTGTGTGGCAAAATGTAAAGGACGAAACCATCCCATCACTTCTCAGACATGGTTCCAAACTGGAAATCCCAGAATTCAATTGTCTCACTGCCCAAAGAGGAACCTCCCTGGGCAAAGCAGAGTGCAGAACTCAGTTCCACCAACCCATAGTACAGGATAGAACCTGCCTGCTCCCAACACTGAATATTAACCACTTTCAGAGGGTGGAGCCAGGAGTGCATGGGGCCCTAGCACTGGCTAAAAGAGCTCAGTTCCTGAGTTTTGTTTATGGCACACAAAACGTTTTCCATCAGTAGCATCCAGGAAATGTACATCTTTGATTATATCACCATCTGAGGGAACCAAACATGGTAATCTCCACAATCCTATGACCAGTTACCTTGCTGTCGAGAACATTTCTTGTCAGTGATCTTGGTCTCGGGGCTGCGCCCAACCATGACTGCTTCCAAATGTGGAAGTTTGATTCGCTGGTGCCGATTGTCCTGTCTCACCAACCAGCACACCCGCATCATTAGTCTGAGAGACAAAACACAAGAGAATCACTGGAAAAACTAGCACAGGTCCTCCAGGACCACACCCCAGCACCACCACACATGTCATTTACCAGCTGTTCATCTTGAGGGAAGTGACTTCACCTCCCTAGTCTCAATTTCCTCACCTGTAAAATGTGATAATGACAGGACTCATGAAGGTGTTGTGAGGATTAAATAAAACAATATGGGTAAAGTATTTACTTCTGTGCCGCAGTCATGCTATGTAATCAAATATTTGTTATGTTTATTGGTATACTCTATGTGCTGGACATTAAGCTACCTCCTGAGGATCAAAGAATGATGAAACATTGTCCCTAGCCTTCAGGGGCCTGGAGTACAATGGGGCAGACTCATATATCAATTATTACAACATAATGTAATTATCTACTATAAGAAGGGAGTAGCCAAATATGGCCTTAGCCCAGGGAAAGGAAAGACTAACTCTTGCAGGGAGCATCAAAAAAGGCTTCACGAGGAAGGGAAATTCACGCTCAGTTTTAAAGGGTGAGAAGCTTGCCTGGCAGAGAGCTAAGGACATAAGAACAGAGGATGTTCTCCATAGGCATCAAGGTTTCCATTCCTTGACTGTGAAAACATACTGATGTTAGAACAACACATTTTACTGCCATCTGCCAGAAGATAGTCATGATAAATATACAAACCTACAATTTCTAAAGTGTGAATGCAGCACCTTTGTGCAATACACAACCTGCACAACACTACTGGAGGGTCTGAAATTCTTTTGTAAAACAACTTTTATGGTCATGTAGGATATCAGTAGAAGAGAAAGAGAAGAAATTCGGGAGAGGGATGAGGCCTGAAGAAAGAGGATGGAGAGGAAAAAGAGCCAGGAGAAATTGTGAAGGTAGACTTATTGCTGACTGCATTTGGGGAATGACAAGGGAGTGAAGATTTCTAATTTGGAAATACTCACTACCCAAAATGAGGAATACACTGGAGACATAATTTAGGGATAAATGATAAGTGAAGAAGAGATGATTTCAGACTGAAATGCAATTAGATTAAGTTGCCTACAGAAGATCCTAGAGTCACACTAGGATATACGGGTATGAAGCTCAAGGAGGGGAAGGGACTGAAGGTATATATATATATATATATATATATGTGTGTGTGTGTGTGTGTGTGTGTGTGTGAGAGAGAGAGAGAGAGAGAGAGAGAGAGAGTATTTTTTGCGACTGTAAAGTGCGTTATTTGGAGTCTTGGGAATTGCAATTCAGGAGACACAGTTTCGAGTAAAACTGAAAGTGTTTCAGGGGAGAGAAAGAATCAGGGGCTTATAAAGGTAAATGCCACAAGGTTGTTAAAGTTGTAAGAATTATGACCAGCTCTGACACAAAAAGGAAGTATTTGTCCTTAACTGAATGTATATATATGAGAGGCATCAACATGTCACAGAAGTTAGGGTAGAAAGAGAGTATGAGATCACCTAGGGGCAGAACAGGGAACTGTGGGAGGGACAGACTAGATCTTTGGGACACCTCCCTAGACTCCAGAAGCCTACTAATGCTCAAGCCTCTAATACCCTCTCCTTGCGAAACACCCCTTGCAGGCAAGGCAACACTCAATCAGCCGCTCTGCACAAGCTTTGTATCCAAAGGGGAGAGAAAAGAAACCAGATTTTTCAAAATCAGAGTTTCACTACCATCTGCAAAGACAGAATAACGCAAAGCAGAGTGAGCAAATGAGTGCTGAAGACGTGCAGTCACAGAAATAGGATCAGTCAGGAAAGGCTTTGGAAACTGCCCAGCAGAAAAAGCCAAGAGCCAAGGGGACTGATAAGAAAGAAAAGGAGTGAGAGTGGAAATTCCACTTCAAAAAGCACAAGTGACGGTACAGATTTCAGCAATGACAAGCCATGGGTGAGGGGTGAGAAGCAGACCTTAGTTGGCCAACCCAGAGGAGCTGCCCCAAAGAAGGCAAAGGTGCTGAAAGAACACTAGGCCAAAAAGTTGAGATTTAACAATCCACAGGAGACAACTGCCAGGGTCTGAGCTGCAGAGTGAGGTGAAATGATGCTGTGTATGGGCAGGCTGGAGTGGAGAAATCTAGAGTCAGAGATGAGCCATTTAATAAATTAAATGTGGGCCAGAGTTAGGTCTAAAAGGCAACTCCTTTGTGAGGGAGCTGATGCAAGAGCATGAAGAGTCAGCTGTAAATCTAAAATCCTAAACCCAGAGCCTCAAATGATGATGGTGCTACAGGCAAGTCCCACTTCTAAACGCTATGTGTTCAGAGGGGCATGTTTGCTCTTGCTGGAAACTGATGAATGAGCAGGTAATGGACTGAGAAATGAAGTATGTCTTCATTAAGCATTGGGAAATAAGTCATCTGGTGACTGACTACTCACAGTAATAATAAAAGAAGCCTGGAGAATAGTTGGATAGCAGGGACAGGAGGAAATCCAGAAGACAGCTGAGAGCATGGCTGACTTTTACAGGATAATAGGACCCACCCCTCCTGCTCCACACAAAATACATTCACATGCTTCATTCCCTCTAAAGTTCTTAAGTTATAATGTTTCTATTTACTACACCTTGAGAAACTGAAGCAGTGACTACAGGATGCTTATGTAACTAACCTTAAGCAATATCTTCACCCATTTCAGCCTCCAATTCCAACTTCTAGGAATGAAGCATTTTAGAATATGGGGAGCACATAAGGATGGATGTTCCTGAATCTTCAATATAACTCATCCAGTAAAACTCCATAAACTGCAAGCTCTATGACAGCAGAAGTCAAGGCCATTTTTCCTTCCACTATACCCTTAGCACTTAATACCTAGCGTACAGCAAGAATATAATAAATATTTGCAAGTGAATGACCAGATAATAATCCTATCCAGGTTCTCCTCCCTTCCTTCCCTCTCCCCTCCTCTAGCTCCTCTTATGTGGGATGCTTTGCTACTCTCTCTGAGCAACCCCATCTCCACATTTATGTGGGTAAATCCTAATTCTCTATTTTTCAGCCCCACACTTTTCACTCCAGAGTTCTAGGGACTGGTCAGAAAGAAATTCTGATTACTTCTTAAGGGACCCAAGTGATCTGATGGGCCGCACAAGGCCAGAAATCTGGTAACCTGGAACACGCTGTCCAGAAGAATGTTCTGCGATGATAGAAGTGTTCTAAACACTAACGTAGCCACCATGTGACAATCAAGCAACTGAAATGTAGCTGGTGCAATAGAGGAACTAAATTTCTTACTTAGCTTTTTTAAAATTTACCTTAAAGTTACAATAGCTACATGTGGCTGAGGGCTACCATAATGTCCAGCACAGCCCTGATCAATCCCAAATCCCTCAGGCTTGAAGCTGAGACTCTCATACTTTAACCCCACAGAGGTTACTTATTTCACCTCCCACTTCTTTTCATAAAACTAGTCCCATTTACCCATCCCTCTCTCTCCTTCCTTCCCCTCACATACACCCTTCAGGTATAACGTACTACATCAGGTCTCCCAAGTAAGTCATTATGAATATGCTCTCCTGGTACTGAATTATACTCTTCCCTTCCTCCTAAAAAAAAAAAAAAAATTCTTCCCTTCCTCCTAAAAAAAAAAAATTCTTCCCTTCCTCCTAAAAAAAAAAAATTCTTCTCAACCTCCAAGTCCCACCTCCTCCCTGAGGCCTTCACAGAGCCTTCTCTCCTCTACATCTCCTCTTCTCTTGTTATTCATCTTATTATTGCGTGTGGTCGGATTTACCCTCTCTGAAAATGAAATGTGGATGTAATCCCAATGGCCAAATGAGATTATAATCTCCTTGTAAACAGACTGCATCCATTCAGGAAACTCGGAGGAAGGGTCTCTGGAAGTCACTGGCCTAGGCTAGGTCTGGTCTTGTACTTCTCGATCTGCTGGTCTTCAGCATACTTTTATCAAGTGCATACCATGTGCTAGGCACTTACTAAATGTCTTACTTACATCATCTAATTTAATCTTCACAACTCTCATTCTAAGGAAAATTTAAGTCTTAGAGAACGAACACGTTCAAGTCACACAGCCAATGTGTGCCAGAGATAGGGTTTGAATTATTCCAGAGAACGGGTTATTTTGTTGCTGTTGTTGTCTTGTTTGGGGTTTTTTTGGCCACACTGCATGGCTTGCAGGATCTCAGTTCCCCGACCAGGGATTGAACCCAGGACACAGCAGTGAAAGGCCAGAATCCTAATCACTAGACCACCAGGGAACTCCTGAGAATGGGTTCGTAATCACTACATCATATACTTTTTGTCTTCAGTCATTTCATCATTCAATCAAAATTACTGCATGTCTACCATGTGCCTTATGCCACCCTGGTGCTGGGAATAAGGAGGTAACACATCTCACTTGTATTGTATGATGCAGGTATTATACATCATACCTGCCTTCAAAAGGCTCAGAGTCTTGTGGAGGAAAGAGACTCAAAAACAATTGTAACAAATGTGGAAAGTATAATGATTGGTCTATGCAAAGGGTGTTGTGGGAGTACAAAGCTGGAGTACCCAACCTAGACTTGGAGAAAGGAGGTGTCAAGGAAGGTTTCTAATAAGAGGTGGGCCTAAAATGAGACCTATACATTAACTGGGTTAATTAGGTGAACGTGGGCAGCCTAATTAGGTGAGGAGCAGGAAGAAGAGAAAGGAGTCAGAGAGATTCCAGTCAAAGGGAACAGCAAGGGCAGTGCACAAAGAAACAGCACAGTGCACATGAAGAAGCAGTTCAGGGCTGCTGCAACCTAAAGTATGAGGCAAAAGAAGAGGACGGAGATGCAGGCTGGTCCAGATGAAGCAGAGCCCTGGGTGACCAGCTGCAAAGCTCAAACATTAGAAGCTCTAATGGATTTTGCAATTTAGTAAACAATATTTGCTGAATGAGAGAAAAGATTGGATGAATGAACAGACAGATCCCCTTAAATATTATTAGCAGGATTTTGACTCAGTCAGATGTGTTTTCAAAGATCATTTGGGGGAGGAGGGTAGGCAGTGTGGCGAACAGATAACGTCGGATATAGGACTAGAGGGGGGGATACCAGTTAGAAGGCCATCATGTTTCAGATCAAAGAAGATAAGGCCCAAAGTAAGACAATAATAGAGATGGAAAAAAGAGCACAGATTTGAGAAATATTTAGGGGGCAAAATCAACAAGATTTAGTGATGGATGTGCTAAGAGTAAGTTCAGAGAAGACAGAATTTGAACAGTCTGTGGGACTCGCAGGCAGAGCTGTCCAGGGTAGTCAGAGGTGAGCATGAAACTCAGAGATCTAAGCTGACACTTCGATTTGGGAGCATGTAGGAGGGAGTTAAAACCAAGCTAGTTGATGTGCTCACCTAGGCAGTGTGTACAGAATGAAAAGAACAATGGGCCGAAGTCACAAGCCTTGTAAACACCCAACATTTTAGGAGCGGAGGAAGAAGACTATCCACAGTAGAAATGACTGGTGAGAGAGGCACATGGAAAAACAGCTAGAATGTAAGCTCTTTAAAGGAAGGAGGCACTTTGACATGTTCATCTCTATATCACAGTACATGTTTGTTAAATAAATCAGCTGAGTGTATTGTCCTGAGAAGCAAAGGAGTAGGGAGTGAAAGGTATCATCAAGTTTCAAAAGCAGCAAAGGAATCCAGTAATGACTGAAGAATGCCTATCTGGTTTGATAATCAATCACTAGTGACTACAGGATAAAATTTCAGGGGAATGACAGATCTGAAAGCTAGACTGCAGAAAGGAATGGGAGATGGAGTTGGAGACACAGTTTAGAATACTCTTTTAAAAGTTTGGATGAGAGGGGAAGAGAGTTACTGGATGAGAGCCAAAGGAAGATGCATCACTAGGAACTTTTTCTTTCTTTCTGGCTTGGGAGCGTGGGGGGGCGGGGGGATGACACACACATGGATATGAGAAACCTGACCTTGTTTATACCTAACTGGGACATAGACAAGGGCACAAAAGACAAATGAAAACAAGGTCTCAGGTGAAAGCATAAAAGAAAGGTCAGAAGCAAAAATAAAGGAAATTGCTTTGATCAGGAGACAGCTCATCCTCTGATACTGAAGGAAAGGTAAAGATAGGTGTAAAGCTAGATGACTGTATGAAGGGAAGGAAGAGGCAGAAATTTGAGGGAGAGCCCACCTGATGACCTCAATTTTCTCCCTAAAATAGTAGACAACAACAGAGTAAGGTGTTTGGGAACTTGATAAACAGTTGAGGAAAATCAATATAAAATAGTGGATAACATCCAAGCCTCTGAAATCCAACAGCTCAAGTTCAAATCTTGCCTCCACAACCTACGGACTGTGCGACTTGTGGCCAGTTATTTAAGCTAAGTCTTTTATTTCTTCAGCTGTAAAACGATATTAATTACTGCTCTACACCACAGCGTTGTCACAAGGGCTAAATTAAGAAGAAAAAGTTCAGTATCTGGCAAAAAACAAGCATTCAACACTACTATCACCCTTGTTAATAGTGAAGGTAGAATGAAAGCAGGAGCTAAGGAAATGTAAAAAGATCATCCGAGAGCACTGACTGTGCAACTAAGGTGAAAGGGCACAAATCTGTTGTGTCTTCCCACGTGAAGAGTCCTGTCTCAAGTGTTCTAATGACGCCCAATATAAATCAAATTCTCAAAAGGCTCCAAACCTGGACCACATTAATTCCACATAGAAATTATATCCTTGCTTTGTTGAACCGCTATCACTGGTCTGTATGAGAAAAGGCTTGCTTCTTCTGGCCTTCCTGTAAGGCCTGTTGAGGACGCTGTGAAGGGCCCTCAAGTTCCTCTCATGGAGCGTTTCTGGAGAAAACAATGTCCTTCCTGACAGGCTGCGCCGCCTCCTTGAGTTGGACAGTGCCCATTCTCTAATCTTTCCTCTGCTTGTGTTCCAAGCTAGGTACAGATGTCAAGGGCACAGGTGAACGAACGCGAAGTGGGACGGAGGCCAACGTGAGCGCCGCCAAAACACGGCGCGGGAAATGGGCAGCCCAGAGCCCTAGAGCCCTGGAGCCGGAGGATGCTGCAACGCCTGCCGGGAAAGAAGCCGTGAGAGCGTTATTCAGGGCACATCACCTAAGAGGCAACAGCGGACCCGGCCTGAGGCCCACTCCCACGGCTCTCAACCCGGCAGACAGAAGACGAAGGCCTACCTAGAAACTGCGGAGGCTGACAAGCTCACGTTACTCCTCCACTTCCGGCGCTGTGGGATGACGTCTCGAGACAGACTGGAGAGCAACCAGTGATTACCTGCTGACAGGATCTCGCCCGATGCCCGGATCCGGAAGTGCCCGCCCCAGTTGGACCTGTATTGGGCCACGGTCCAAGTTTGGATCTTGGCAGTTATCCCAAAGAGGACGAGCTTTCTCAGCATCTGTCTATGCGAGAGCTGCTACGCCATCACCACCTCTTAGTTTCTGAAATGGGAGAGACTTCAGGCTGCTCTCCTCTCGGTGGCCGTTTCTAGGCAGCCGTCCTGCCTCTGACATTCCCTTCATAAGGAAAAGCTCACTACTTTTAAGGCCACCTTTTGCGCTGTAGACCGTAGCTGCTTGTGGCCGCCCCCTTTCAAAGCTACAATCTGCTTTCTCCTATTCTGGGGTAGAAAGGACTGGAGGGGAGAAACCTTAGCGGAGAAACCTGCTAAGATTTTTTAATGCTGTCTTCACTAAATGAACTGGCTGAGGGGCAGTCAGGGAGGGGAGAAGCAGGATGTTGGAATGAGATGTGTTTACCGATTTTTACGGCAATTCCAGGATGTTCCCTAAGAGTCATATTGCAATTATTCGAATGCATTCTGGCAGATGGAAAAACTCCTCTCTCATTTGGAATATTATTTCCTTCCAAAGGAAAGCAGAGACTCAATGGTATGATGGCAATATCAGAGCTATAAAAACAGAGTGGGAGGATCTTCCAGGAAACACGGAAGGGAGACTTCGCAGTTGTTAGCAGAGAAGATGCAGGTTTATATTAGGGTCATACCAGTAAGTGGAGGGGCACAGGAAGCTTCTCAGCAGCCACACAGGCCTCATGGCAGTGGAATGTGGTTCACATTGCTCGAGGTAAAGAGAGGCTATTCTGGTGACCTGACCAGTTATTTCCTCAGAATTAAGCTTCTCTTAGCCTCTAGTTCAACCTGACCTGCCTATGTTGTGTCTTGCATTCAAAACTGGATTGGATTATTCTAATTGGATTATTCAACATATATTGTGCAAAATTGGGCAGCCTATTAGGTCTAGTTGGATTATTCAACATATACTGTGCAAAAATGTCCAGCCTATTAGGTCTAGCCCTTTCTCTATAGCATACTACTGGCCCAAGAAGCTGGGTCACATGGCATAATGCACGGCTTCAGGGCATGGCAGGCACAAAATTTTCAAGGACTCCAGAACCAAAGATTTATCACAAACACATATATAGAGATTAATAGAGAATAAGCCTGTGGTATTAGCTAATGCAGTAGCCCTCAAAATATAATCCTTAGATCATTAGGAGTAGCCTCAAAACACTTGGGAACTTGTTAGAAATGCAAATTCTCAGTCCTCACCCCAGGCTTACTGATTCAGAAACTCTGGGGGACGAGGCCCAATAATATGTTTAACAAGCCCACCAGGTTATCCTAATATTGTACACACTTAGATTTGAAATTCACTGATGGAAGGCAAAGGCTTCAAACCACACACTGTGATAAATGTGTTTTGTTAGTATACTCAAGAGTTTTGGAGTTTTTTTGTTTGGTTTGTTTTTTTCAAATAAAATTTTTTTTTCAATTTTTAATTGTGGCAAAATACAAATAACATAAAACTTACCGTCTTAACTGTTTTTAAGTGTATAGTTCAGTAGTGTTAAGAATATTCACATTGTAGTGAAATCTATCTCCAGAACTTTTTTTTTTTTTTTTGGCTGCATTGGGTCTTTCTTGCAGCGCACGGGCTTTCTCTAGTTGCTGTGAGTGGGGGCTACTCTTCGTTGCAGTGCACGGGCTTCTTATTGCAGCGCCTTCTCTTTTTGCAGAGCACGGGCTCTAGGCACGCGGGCTCAGCAGTTGTGGCGCACGGGTTTAGTTGCTCCGCGGCATGTGGGATCTTCCCAGACCAGGGCTCGAACCCATGTCCCCTGCACTGGCGGGCGGATTCTTAACTATTGCACCACCAGGGAAGCCTCCCAGAACTTTTTAATCTTGCAAAACCAAAACTCAAACAACTCCCCATTTCCCCCGCCCCCAATCCCTGGCAACCACCATTCTACTTTAAGTTACAATGAGTTTGACCACTCCAGATACCTCATGTAAGTGAAATCATACAGTATTTGTCTTTTTGTGACTGGCTTATTTCACTTAGCATAATGTCCTCAAGGTTAATTCACTTGTAAGTGTCAAAACCTCTCTCCTTTTCAAGGCTAAAAAACATTCCATTGCATGTATACACCACACTATTCCTCTGCTTCCACCTTTTGGCTATTATGAATAATGCTGCTGTGAACATCGTTGTACAAGTATCTCTTTGAGATCCTGCCTTCAATTATTTTGTATATATACCCAAAATTGGGACTGCTGATTCATAATTCTGTTTTTAATATTTTAAGGGACCACCTACTGTTTTCCATAGCGGCTGCACCATTTTACATTCCCACTAGCAGTGTACAAGGGTTCCAATTTCTCCACATTCTTGCCAACACTTGTTATTTTCTTATTTGGGTTTTTTTTCTTTTAATAGCAGTCATCCTAATGGGTGTGAGGTAAGGTGATATCTCATTGTGGCTTTGATGTGCATTTCTCTAATGATTAGCGATATTGAGCATCTTTCCATATGTTTTTTGGCCATTTGTATATCTTCTTCAGAGAAATATCTATTCAAGTCCTTTACCCATTTTTTAATCATGTTATTTTATTGTTGTTGCATTGTAGAAGTTCTTTTAATCTTCTGGATATTAACCACTTATCAGATATATGACTTGCAAATATTTTTTCCCATTTCATAGGTTGCCTTTTCACTCTGTCAACTGTGCCCTGCACAGAAGTTTTTAATTTTTTATTATTATTTTTTTTTTGGCTGCATTGGGTCTTTGTTGTTGCGCGCGGGCTTTCTCTAGTTGCGGTGAGCGGGAGCTACTCTTCGTTGCAGTGCGCAGGCTTCTCATTGCGGTGGCTTCTCTTGTTGTGCAGCACAGGCTCTAGAGGGCAGGCTCAGTAGTTCTGGTGCACAGGCTTAGTTGCTCCGCGGCATGTGGGATCTTCCCAGACCAGGGCTCGAACCCGTGTCCCCTGCATTGGCAGGCAGATTCTTAACCACTGCACCACCAGGGAAGCCCCAGAAGTTATTAATTTTGATGTAGTCCAATTTATCTATACTTACTCTTGCTGCCTATGCTTTTGGTATCATATCCAAGAAATCATTGGACGCTTTTCCCCTATGTGTTACAGTTTTAGGTCTCACATTTAGGTCTTTGATCCATTTTGAGGGTTTTTTTTATATGGCATAAAGTAAGCATCCAACATCATCCTTTTGCCTGTGGATATCCAGTTTTCCCAACACAATTTGTTGAAAACACTGTCTTGCCTCCATTGGATGGTCTTGGAATACCTGTTGAAAATCATTTGACTACATATGCAAGGGTTTATTTCTGGGCTTTCTATTCTATTCCATTGGTCCAGTACCACCCTGTTTTGATTACTGTAGCTTTGTAATAACTTTTTAAATCAGGAGGTGTGAGACCTCCAACTTTGTTGGTTGTTTTTTTTTTCCTTTTTCTAAGATTGTTTTGGCTATTTTGCTCGGGGGCGGTAATTTTTTTTTAATTATAACAGTTAGAAATTAGAAAATCTTGCATGAAAATCAGGAGTCTTGGTCTCTTGGGAAAAAAAATCAAGAAATCCAGCAAATTCTGGCAACAAATAGCTGGAACTGGAGTGGCTGCCAAGTGCTCTCTAGTTGCCATTGTCTCCACCCACTCATTTACGTAATCTGTCCCATCCCTTAAAGGCCCTTCTTTCTTTGATACTTTGAGACTCCTGGTCTAAGGGAAAGGCTGTTGGAGCCAGAGGACCAACCTGGGGAGGCTGCAGTGGTCTGGTTCAGAGATATTCTCAAAAGGAAAAATACAGAGTTCTGAGAGAAAATATAGCTAGGAAATTTTGTTTGTTTGTTGCAGGAGAGAGGGTAGAGTGGGAGTGGTTGGGGAGGGGTATCAGGAAAGACCTATCTAAGGAAAGGACAATTAAACTGAGTCCAGAAAGATGAAAATGAAACAGACAAGACTTGGTAGAAGAATATTCTAGGTCTATAATCTAGACTGAGGAAAGGGCATGTACAAAAGCCCTACAGTAGGGCTTTTAGCATATTCTTTCAGGCATGACAGAAATCCAATGAAGCTCAAGAGTAGTTTGTAAGAGGAAAACGGTGATATATGAGCGAGGGTCAGATAGTAAACCATTCAGGAACTGTATGTAAGCTCATCCTATAGTCAATGAAAAAACCCTAAAGAGTTAGCCAGGGAGTGACATTATTTGATTCTCATTTTATGAAGATCACTGTGGCTGCTGTGAAGAAGAACAGATTGGAAGGGAGGATGAGAACAGAAAGGCTGAGAGCAGTTAGGAGTTTACTGATGTAGCACAAAGGATGTTGGAAGCCTGGACAAGAATACAGAAGTGGACTGATTTAAGAGCTATTTTGGAGGCAGTAGCAACTGGATAAGACAAGACATATTCTTCTCTGTAGGCCAACCTAGGTCAGATGGCAAATAACAAAAGTCACTTAGTGGGGATAGGACCAAAACCTAGTGAGCTATACATGTAGTTGCATCTTTCACATATCCAAAAACTTCTCACTGCAAGTACCTACGACTCTGCCTGAAGGCTTCCTCTGGCCCCAAGAGCCTTCTCTGACTGCATACAGGCCAGAAGGGATGGGATTTACACTCCTGGGAGCAGTAGTGAAAATGATGTAAAGAAGTGAACGGGTAAACTTGTTTCCACACCCCTGGGGCGAAACAACTTTGAAGCATAAACTACTCTGTCTCCCAGAGGCTCTCCAGCCCCAGTTGTCTAGAGGGGTAACCTGTGCATTAACCCACCGGTATTACTTCCCTCCCATCCCTGTCTCACTTCTCCACTCCCCTACTGATGCTTCCTGCTATCATCTCCTAAGCAAACTAATTGCACTCAAATCGTTGCCTTGTGT